AAAAAAGAGGAAGGAAGGAAGGAAGGAAAGAAGGAAAGAAAGGAGAAAGAAGGATGCAAGAAAGAGGAAGGAAGGGGTAAAAGAAGGGAACAAGGAAGAAAGGGAGGAAAGGAGGGGGGGAGGGAGGATGAAAGAAAGAGAGGAAGAAATGGATAAAGGGGAGGAAGGGAGGGAGAAAGGAAGGAAGGAGAAAGAAGGATGAAAAAGGAACAAGGGATAAAAGGAAGGAAGGAAGTCAGGGGTGGGATTCAAATTTTTAACAACCGGTTCTGTGAGCGTGGCTTAGTTGGTGGGCGTGGCTTGGTGGTCATGTGACTGGCTGGGTGTGGCCAACTCAACATCACTCACATCGAGACACGCATCTCCTCGCCTGGCCTCTCATGACTGTGGGGATGCTGCAACAGTCATAAGTGTGAAAAATGGTCATAAGTCACCTTTTTCAGTGCCATTGTAACGTTGAATGGTCCCTCCACACAAGCAAAGGACCAGCAAAGGAGGGGAAAAAAACTCCAGAGAAGTTCCTGAGACAGGAAGTCTAGTCCTGCCAAGAATGTAATAAGGGTCAACGTTGAGGCAGTTTCTGTAAGCAACCCCAGAATGTTTCCTTCCTGCCTTCCTTACAGGATTAGCCCTGTAATTTCTCCTAACAACCGGTTCTCCCAACTGCTTAGAAGGTTAACAACCGGTTCAAGCAAATAGGTGCCAACCGGTAGAATCCCACCCCTGAAGGAAGTGACAAAAGAAGGAAAGAAGGAAGAAGGAAGAGAGGTAGGGAGGAAGAATGAAAGAAAGATGAAGGAAAGGCTAAAAGGAAAGGAGGAAAGAAAGAGAGGAAGGAAGGAGGGAGGGAGGGAAGGAAGGAAGGGAGAAAGGGAGGGAGGGAGGGAGAGAGGAAGACCCCTAACCCCAGAGACTTCAGCCCCAGGGAATCCCCTCCCCATCTTGCTCACAGGGGCTTCAGGTGGAGAAATATGATTAGCGGCTTAGCAAATCTCCAAGAGAGAGAGGAGTTTTGGGTGGGGGGGACACACAACTGGCCCCTCCTCCCAGCGGGCCCCTTTCAAGCCAAGGAAATCTGAGCCGGGATATACCCAGAGGGGTGGCTGGAAGGGGGCTGCTTTGCCCTGCCCTCCCCCCCACCAGCTGCATTCCTGCATTAGGCCGCCCCTCCTCTGCCCCCCTGGACATCCCAGGAAGAGGGAGGGGGGAGGGTCTCAGGAAGCCAGAAGAGGAAGCAGCTCAGCCTCCCCCCTCCTCAAAACAAGCCAGCCCAGCCTGCCAATCCCACCCGCCTTCCCTTCAGCTCTGCAGCCGCCACCTTTGTCCTTGTTCCCGCCTTCTCCTTCCGGGAGGGAGGGCATCTACTTACCCCACGGTGCCCGTCCGCTGGGCCTGGCACGTGCCCACCACCTTGGAATGGAAGGATGTCCTGCCGTGCAGGGAGGCTTCTTTGCTGAAACACTGGGAGGGTGAGGAGCCATTAGCCACAAGGCAGCGGCCTCCCACCTTGGCCTGTGGACTTCAAGTCCCAGAATTCCCCAGCCAGAGATTGGGTACAGGCTGATCATGGGGGCACACAGGCAAGGTGCCCCCAACCCCCTACCCCAAAATCCAGTGCCACACTCATCTTACTTGGGGCAGCTCACCAATGACCCGGTCCCTTCGCACAGGGGCCAGCATGTTCATTGCTGGTCTCCGAGGTTCACACCTGTGGGCACAGAAAG